TGGAGGTCCTGCCCAGCTGGTCCACATCTAAGTGAACACCCTTGCCATAGTGTCAGGATGGTGACTCTCGGCCATGCCCACAACATGGAAAGCAGTGCCCAAATCCACCGCTGAGAAATCCCCAGCCTTGCCATCGATGTCCTTGATTGCGAAACAAGCCAGCCCAATCTGCTCATTCAAATATGCTGCGTGAGGTGTCCTAGTTTCTGATGTAGATGACGTAGCGCGGCCGCACTCTTACTGGAACAATATGAACTTCCAGGTCCGAACTGGATAGCCTGAGCTCGCATGTCGTCCACGACAGGCTCGGGCTCGCACCGCGTCTGAATATTCAACTTGGCGGTGCGGTTCAACTTCGGCTTGATCAAATCTGGAATGATGTCGGCCTTCTCGAAATCCTGCAATACCATATCGGTCGAGGTCTACGACCCTTCGTCGTCCAACTCGACTCCAATCAGGCCCGTCTGGTAACCTCGCCGGCAGCTCCGTGAGATCACCTACGTTCTAACAGTAGAACCACTCGGCGGATTCCCCGCCCACGAGGTCCATGAGGTCTCCTGTCGCGTAGACGCTGCACTCCGTCATGTAGCTGCGGTTGCTGCACCGGTAAGCCCGCGAAGGCAGTTAACTGCCGTCGCGAACTCCCGGGTGTAGCTTGCCGCCTTTCGCGTATAATGAGATCCCTCCAATGGCGCCGGCGAGACGTGCGCATCGCTGGAGACCAGGGGCCCAGTCGGCTTCCAGATATTCCTAGACTTCGGATGTCGTAAGTTGAACCTGGCGCATGTCGGCAGTCACCTCCTTGCTCTTGGATGCTCCCTTAAGCGCTTGACCTGCGGCTGCTTGAACGCATCCGAGGCCCAGGGGCTCTCGAATCAAATGTCCCGCTTGCTGTTCAGCTGCGTCGCGCCCATCTCCTCCACGATGTCCAGCAGCGGTCGGTCTCCGATGCGCTTGCGACGTAGTTGCTGCTGTCTACCTCCTCCTCGGTAGTTGACCCTCGCCAGCTGCGCCCACAGAGTGCACGGATACTCCAGGGTAAGCAGCTTCGGCCTGCGCGAGTATTAAATTTGGAAAACTTCACGTCGATCTGGAACATCTCGAAGATTGCAGTTGCAGACGTGAACGATCGGCTCGCACGCTATGAGCCCCCCCCCCCCCCTACAGAACTCCTCGGATACGGCAGCTTCCCCCGCGAAGATATGCATGAGGTCGTAGCTCAAGTCGGCCTTGACGTTGAACGCGTTGCAGAGGTCCTGGGCGAGAGCCTCGCCCTCTAAGAATAGCGGCCTCGCCAGAAACGCGCCGACGAATGTGGCCGGCCACGCGAGGAAGCCGACGGCCTTCTTGATCATGTCCTTGCAGCGCTTGATCTGTCCAGGCTTCCTCTCGCGCTTGACCCCGGCTGCCGTCGCGCCTTCCCATTCGGAGCTATCGCGCCCCAGTCCTGGTTCTCCTCTTCGCCGGCGTCGTCGGCTGCAATGGCCATGTCGCTCATCGACGAACTCCATCGCCTCGTCGGTGGTCCGTCGCTCTCGGAGCCCCCCGAGGGACCCCGCTGGCTTTGCGAGATGCTCCCTTCCGGAGCGCCGGCAGGCTAAGCAGGCACCCCTGGTCGCTGAAGTATCCTTCGTGGTCGCAAACAGCGGCGCCTCGCCCTCGATCTCCTCCTCCGCGACTGCCTTCGGAATCTGCCCCGACAGCAAGCGCGCGAGGTCGTCTTTGATCGCGCCCTCGGTTGTCCTGATGTTGCGCTTCTTGGCCAGCTGGATGCGTTCCGTTTTGCTTTCCTTGGCCAAGACTCGAAGCTCCGTATCGGGTGCTCGATCTCCCCTTCGGCTGTTCTTTCTTGATCCGCTGCTCGCGGGGAATCACTCGCATCTCCGGGCAGCCCGCGCCTTGGCACCCCCACCCGTTGCTCTCCATCTCTTCCTGCAGCTCCACCTTGACCATGATCCCGAGCGGAAGCAGGCGGCGCGTTGCAGGCGGATCAAAGCGACTCAAGGATATGCTTCTTGCCATGCCGACGGCCGTTGCGACAAATGACCGCGACTGCCAGGTGCCTGGTCGTTGCGATCGCCGCGAACACTAAATTGAACCTGGTTCCAACGCGCCGGCGCTGCCGCGTTGCAGTGGTTCTTAGCACCCACATTGAGAACGTCCCAATTGCGACTCCATGACAGCGCGCTGAGAGGCATCTGAATATGGCACAAATAGCTGATCGCCTGAGACTGCTTGAACCGATCGGCTGAACGCGCGAAATCTCATCGCCATCCAAACGTTTGGTTGTGTCGAATCGCACTCGTCTTGTTCGCCTTGCTTGCTGCTGCTGATCTGGCACGGGATTCGGTAACATAACACGGCGGTCCCGCGCGCATTCCCTTCCTTCCCCCGACGCTGGCACGGGTGCGGTTTCCGTTCGGGCCCCCCTGAGGCACCCTGAAGTTTTGCTCGGAGTGGCTCGGAGGCTCGGATCGTTCTCGCAGGCGCTGGAGTTGATCTCGCACTCATTCGGGTCGCTCTCGAACTGGTCGCAGTTTATCTCGCTCTAGTTCGGGCGGCACTTACCGAAGTTCATCTCGCCCGGGGCCCCCTCGTGATCCCGATGAGGGCCCACTCGAAATATACTGAACGTGCCCTTGGGAGGCCTCCAAAGCGCCATGACGATGATGCGCCTGGCTCTTCTCAACTTTTTTTTCCACCGTCGCTGCGATGGCAGAAGTAGCCGGATCCCTGTCTGGCTCGGGCCCACGTCTGGAGCCACTGTGGAAAGGAGGGCCCTATCGAACAGCGACGCGCCGAGACTTGGACGTCCGCCCCCGGCCCGGCCGAGCCCGGGGCTGGCGACCCCAGCTTCCTGATAATGTCATGGCGCTCTCGCCAGCCTCCACCTCGCGATCGCGAACGGCGCCAAATTGATCAAGGGTCCTGTGAGACAACCATGCTGGAACAAAGCACGGGGCGATGGATATTCTCAACGTGAAATGGCGCCCCTGCACTGCGAGTGGAACCAACGCTCAAATCGTGCTCGTGATCGGCTTGCCCGCTCGGAATATCTGAAAACGTTGTGCTCGAACTTGATCGGATTGAGGCCCGACTTGGCGAGCCTCTGCGGCGCCGTCGTGCCAGACCTGGCCCCCGGCCGTCTTGGCGCAGCACGAATCCGGCAACAGCTTGCCCCCGCGCTTCTGTAGCAGCCCCCCCTTCGTAGCCAGTATTACGTTCGCTGTATCCGTCATCATCGCATCGTTGATGAAGAAGGTTTGCTCGGCGATATGCTGCTACGTGTCCTGCCAACTTGCGCAGTGCTGGTCGGCGCCGTTGTCTTCTTCCCGGCGGTCGTCGGCCGTCGTCGCATGCGCCTTTTTTATCGGCGGCCCAGGGCATCCAGGACCCCCCATGCCAATGTCCGAGCCGCTGACAGACTGCACGGCGTGTCCTCGCATTCCGCTTCTCGGAGCGATATGGGCCGCCGTTGCTCCCGCGTTCGCCGAATTGAACGGGCGCCCCTACTTCCGCTGCTTTTGCCACCAGGCGGCCGATCTCGATGCTAAAATCCCCATCGATTGCTTGGCGCCCTTCTGACAATCCTTCGCTCTCGCCAACATCTTCTCCAACTGATATCATTCAGCCTCCGCTTCGCCCTCTTCCTCGAGCAACTCCTCTGGCAGGTCATGGCCCTCCACTTGAGACTCGAATGTCACGAAATTATCATCATTGTCGTCGTTCTCGGTCACATGAGCTCCCCAACGTCTCTGTCTGACTCCTCCTTTGCCTGTGGCAGGCTGTGCTGGCGCGGGTCTCCGGGGGTTGAGCTTATCTAGTGCTCGAGCGTCCTTCACGTGGAGTAGCGTCTGTTTCTGCAGCGGCTTGAGCTCATACTTATTTTGGTTAGCGTTGAGCACTCCAGCCCCTCGATCTGGCGACATACCCAACCACCAACCTCAAGACCTGCGAGTCGAAACAATTGATGTAATTGCGAACCTCCTCGTTGCTCTCGCGGCGCATCTAGGCGAAGAACGCATTGGGATCTCTGCCGAACTCCATCGCCTTTTCGACATCAAACTTATTGGCCAGAACGTCTAACAGCCCTTGGACCCCTTCTGCACTCTGTAGCTCCAGCGGGTCGAGGTCCTCTGCGTGCACCCAGGCGTCGCCCTGAAACTCTGCGTATAGCTCCGCGGCCTGCTTCTCAGCGGGCAGGCGCGTGCGGATTCTGAAAACTGCAACTCTCCGGCGGAAGCCCTTCATCGTCATCTGCTCGGGGTTAAGGGACGGCGTTTTGATAGACGGTCCACCTCCCGTCTGCGCAACAACATGATATCTTTCTTCCCCACCGCCCCCTTGTCCGTCATCGGACTTGGGGGCCATAGCTTAGAAATACTGCTGACAAGCAATCAGTCGAATGCGAAACTCTGCTGACGGGCAACCCGCCGAAGCGGGCAATCCACTGTAGTCCGTGGCTCTAACTGCTCCTGCTACCAATGTGACGATGCGACGTCTGATATGTGCTGCGGTGGGCGCGCGCTATTTTCCGTGTGTCGCCTGAAGCTCAAGGGCCCTGTGAGCCACAATGTTTACGGAGCGATACGGGTGAGACGAAGGGCGAACGCTGGGCAGTCCAGAATTCTCGCTTTCACAAGGGGGAATGAGGACGAGGAGGGGGGAGGAGGAGGCAGGAGGGGGGAAGGGGGATGAGGGGGGAGGGAGCAGGGAAAGAGGGGGGAAGGATGAGGGGGGATGGGAGGTGGGGAGGATGAAGAGGAGGAGGAGGAGGAGGAGGAGGAGGAGGAGGAGGAGGAGGAGGAGGAGGACGAGGAGGAGGAGGAGGAGGAGCAGGAGGAGGAGGCGGAGGAGGAGGGAGGAGGTGGGGTGGGTGAGGACGAGGAGGCAGGAGGAGGGGGGAAGAGGAGGAGGGGGGAAGAGGAGGACCCAGAGCTGGGCGAGGCAAGGGGAGGCGGAGGGCGAAGGTGCGGGCCCGACGCGGCGGGACCGCTCGCCTCGCAGCCGTCGAAGCCGCACAGTTCGGCACACCTCCGCAGCCTGTGGCGGCCGCTGGCGTCCTCGGGCGGGCCGCGGGGGAAGCCGCACCTCCCCTCCGCGCGTCTCCGCCTCGTCGCCTCGCCTCTTCTCCGCCTCGTCCTCCTCCTCCGCCTCCTCCTCCTCTTCGCCTCCTCATCCTCCTCCTCCGCCGCCTCCTCGCCTCGCCCCGCCGCCTTGTCGCTCCTCCGCTCTCCTCCGCGTCGTCCTCCGCCTCCGCCTCCGCCCTGCCGCGAGCCTCCCTGCTGCTCACCCTCCGCGCCCTCCCCGCTCCCTCGGCGTCATCGACATCAGCATCAGCGCATCCCTCCATCCCTTCGTCCCTCGCAGCCATGCTCCACGGCCGCCGCCATGCCCCCTGGCGCGCAGAGGCGTGGTGGAAATGCCGCCAGGGGCCGCCAGAAGCGTGAAGTAGGGTTTCCGTACGTACTCTTCGGAGGGGCCATGCCTGCCCCCCCTCCATCCGATCACCCGCCACCCAAGCGCCCCCATCCCTGCCATGCCCTCCAAGTCCCCTATTCGCACTCCGCCATCAGCTCTCATCTCCCTTAGGCGGCACTCCGACCGAAATCCTCTCCTCGTCCTCCAGTCATTTCTCTTCCTCATCCACATCCTCGCTCACAATGCTCCTCCTCCTCCTCCTCCTCCTGCTGCTTCTCCTGTTCACCCATGTGCACCTCCTGTCCGAACTCTTAATCAGGCTCTTCGTCTCAATGTTTCATCATTATATGACTCTCCCTCACTTCCTCCTCCTCCTCCTCTTCCTCCTCCTTTTCCTCCTCCGCCTCCTCCCACTCCTCTCCCCCACCCTCGTCATCGTCGCCGTCATCGTCATCGTCGTCGTCGTCCTTCTCCTCTCCTCACCCCCCCCCCGCGTCTCACCGTCGTCTCCGTCCTCCTCCTTCCTTCTCCTCCTCCTCCTCCTCCTCCGCGGGAGGACTCCTCGGGCCCCAGGACTCGGAAGATCGCCTGGAGGAGATCCGGGCGACCGCGCGGGGAGCCTGCGCGGCGAGGCGCGGCGCGGCGCGTGCTGCCGCGGCTCCTCCTACGTTTCGTCGTCCTCGTCCTCCTCGTCGATATCCTCGTCCTCCTCGTCGATGTCCTCCTGCGCACTCGCCCGGGTGCTCCCCGCCCATGTCCTCGTCGTCCTGGTAGCATGCATCCGCCCCTCTCCCCCCCCCGCGACCGCGAAGGAGGGGGAGGAGGGGAAGGGAGAACGAGGAGGAGGAGGAGGTGTCGCGGACTCCGCCCCGGAGGGGGACTCCGCGCCCCCGCGGGCGGAGCAGGTCTGAGGATCAGGGGAGGGGGCGAAGCCCCTCCTGTGCTCGCAGGCAGTTGCAGAGAAAAGGGGAAGCGAGGGGGAGGTGGTCGAGGGCCAGACGAACCACGCCTGGCTTTCACACCTCCTACCCTGAAAGGAAACGCACGCTGCCGAACCGCGTCTCGCTCCTCCTCCTCCTCCTCCTCCTCCTCCTCCTCCTCCTCCTCCTCCTCCAACTGATCCTCCTCCCCCTCTTCCCCAGCACACTCGTCTGGGCCTGGAGAGCTGCAAAGCTGAAAGGTCGACATTCCGTTGTCCGTGCGCTCGCTGCACGAGCCCCCCGCCGGGAAGATGCACTGCCGCACGTCCTCGGGCCAACAAGCGGCAGGGGGCCTCTGAGAAGTGAGAAGGGTGAGGGGGGAGCCGAAAAAAGGAAATCCGAACATGGCGTCCGACGAACAACCCTGGGTCCACTCGTGAACAGGTCGGACGTGATGGGACATGCGATTACGCCGCGACACAGACGTGAAGGCTTGGCAGGCATGGGAGCGAACTCAAGTCTTCATAAACTCAGCTACTCGACGTTCGACCGGCATGTTCATGCGAGTGTCAGCTCAGCGTGCACACTGTGTCAAAGATCAGCACGAAGAGGGGTAAGCCAAACGTGATGTCAGTCGCTATCGGAACCTGCACGCGCGCACGATCCTGCGAGCTTAACAGCAGTTCGCGTGTGCATATGCGAGCTCACCGCAAATTTCGAAAGAGAGCATCTTGCGACAGATTGACTCCATAGCTTCTCCTGGACCAACACGACTTAGGCAAACTGCAACAAAAAATACGAATATATGTGGCGAGTACTAAAAGATATCGATGGTTCGTGCATTTCCCAAACGGTGTTTGCACGTACGCCTGCGAGCCGGTTTGGCGGTTCCGCTCTCGCCTTCGACGCCCCGTCGCCGCTTCGTCGCCGCCTCATCTGGGCTGACGGGCCGGTCTGGCGGCTCCGTTCTCGCCGTCGCCGCCCCGTCACCGCATCGTTTGAACTTGCGGGTTCGTATGGCAGGTATCGCCGCCTGGTATCAATTCTCCAATCAGAAGAAAAATTGTGGCCTACCACTACCACCCCCGCGGAATCGTCGGTTCCCCTTGGCGTCGTACCATTTACATCCAATTATGCCCCACCGTCCATTTCATATACAAATTCGTACCATTCCAGCTGGACCCGCTATCGCCCCCCGCCCCACCATGCCCATCAAATTAAAGCACGCGCGCACTAAATTAGCACTCGCTTATCACGAAATGCGGATTTCAACAATCCAATGAAACTGTAAGACAAAATCGCCACGCGCGGACACTCGCGCGCATGACGAAACTCTTCCACAACGTTAAATATCGTGCGGGTTTCAAGATCGTGCTTCCCAGAAACATGTAAAGACCAATTGTTTTGCGACATCATGGTCGGGAAATCAGCAAACGTCGAAATCCTTCGAACGCCAACTGAAAAAAGGGAACACGGCACCTGTCCAATAATACCATGCGGGCCACGCGCCCGCGTCGGCCGCGAGCCTAAGCCGAAATCGTTCCTACACTTTCATCGCCAGCACGTGGACATCATCACTGTCATCGGCGTGACCCGCATCGGCGCCATCATTGGCTTCCCCGACGTCATCGCCATCGTCGCCACAGTCATCACCTCTACTATCATATTGTCTGCCGCTGTCGACGCCGAGTCGCCGAGTCGCACTGAAGTGTCCGCGCGTCATTGCGGCATGCGAGACGCGCTGCAAGCCCCCAGCGGTCAGCGCAAACGCGGTTTCGTCGGTCGTGCCAAACAAGCTGGCCGCTATGCGCGCGAGCCTGCGCGCGCGCTGGCGCGGCCGCAGCTGTGCGCCCGCCAGCGTCAAGCAGTCATCGCAGTCGCCGCCGCAAGGCTTGTGCAAACCAAGCTGCATGTGGGTGGGTGGGATGATTGTGCGAGCAGTAAAGTTGGCAACTTCAAAATCTGTTATGTCACATGCGCAGCGTAGAATGTCATATATGTATATGTGTATATGTATAAGTGTGTGAGAGAGAGAGATAGAAAGAAAGAGAGAGAGAGAGAGAGAGAGAGAAAAAGAGAGAGAGAGAGAGAGCGCGCGCGGAACTCGCATAGGGGGGCCCCCCCTCAGCTACCCCCTCCTCCTGGGCACCCCCTGCTGGAAGCTACCTCCCCCCCCCTTTTTGCTCCCCCACCCCTGGAAGCTACCCCCTTTTGCCGCTCCGGAAACTACACAAATACTCAATATGAATACTACTCTCCCGGACTGGGAGTAGCCGACCCCCCCCCGCGTACTGTTTTTTTTACACATAGATTTCCCCGGAGTTGGGTTTTCGCCTGCATTTGTTTCCAAAATGCTGCTCTCGCTGAGGCGCCGGCCTCATTTTCGGGCCCCGCTCGTTCCGAATCGTGCTCCCGCTGCAGTGGGTCTCATTTTCGGATCGGTGTTTTGCCTCCGTCGTACAGGATGGCGTTCTCGCCCCAGCGCGGGCCTCTTTCTCGCGCGCCCATCCGCCCGCCACCACCGCACCGCGCCCCGCCCCGCCCACCGCCACTTCCACCCACCAACGCACGCACGCACGCACGCACGCGCACCGCCACCATCACCCCACTACCCCACCCACCACCACAACGCTACACCGCGTCACACCACACCACACGCGCGCGCACACAGACACACACGCACGCACGCACGCACGCACGCACGCACGCACGCACGCACACGCACACACACACACACACACACACACACACACACACACGCACACGCACACGCACACGCACACGCACACACACCACCACCACCGCCACCACCACCACCGCCATCACGCACGCACGCACCTGGCCCACCACCAAACCACCAAGACGCCACACCACGTCACACCACAGCACACGCGCACACACGCACACACACACACACCACCACCACCACCACCACCACCACCACCACCACCACCACCACCACCACCAACCATAACCACAACCACGCACACACACGCACGCACGCACGCGCACCACCACCCACTACGCATGCGCGCGCGGAGCCACAGGTCCGCTACGACACGCGTCCGCGGATAGAGAAAATCAGCGCCATGGTAAGGGATGGGAGGGAGGGGTAGGACGTCAGATATGACGCGAGCGCACATAGCTTGCCGTCCCCCCCCCCTTTCCAAAGGGGAGGAAGGGGCCCAGCTTCTCCCCCCCCCCCTTGGACCCCCCCTGCTGGAAGCTACCCCCCTCCCCCCTTTTTTTGTCCCCCCCCCCCCCCGGAAGCTACCCCCCCTTTTGCCGCTCCGGAAGCTACCCCTCCCTTCCCCCCCTTTCCGAAGGGGGGGGGCTTAGCTACCCCCCCTCCTTTGAACCCCCCCATGCTGGAAGCTACCACCCCCCTCCCTTGAACTCCCCCTGCCAGACGATCCTCCCCTGTTGCCGTCGTCGTCCTCGTCGTCGTTGTCGCCGCCGTCGCCGTCATTGTCGCCGTCTTCGCATGACCCCGTCGTGGTCGTCACGACGAGGACGAGGTCATGCGAAGACGGCGGCGGACGACGGACGACGGACGACGCGCGACCGACGACCGACGACGACGACGACGACCCAGGGTCAGAGAAAACAAGACCACGACCCAGGGGCTGAGAAAACGAGGAAGCGAAACAACGTCCGAGAAAACGGGACCACGGCCCACGGGCGGAGAAAACGGGAAAACGAACCAGGGTCCAACAAAAACTAACCAAGGTCCGAGGAAACGAGACCACGACCCAGGGGCAGAGAAAACGCGAAAACGAACCAGGGCCCGAGAAAAAGGGACCACGATCCAGGGGCCGACAACACGAGACAACGCGAAAACAAACCAGGGCCCGAGAAAACGAGACCACGACCCAGGGGCCGAGAAAACGAGACAACGAGCAAACGAACCAGGGCCTGATAGAGCGACAACACAACCCAACGGCCGAGGGCCCGATAGAGCGACAACACAACCCAACGGCCGAGAAAACGAGAATAACGAGAAAACGAACCAAGGCCTGAGAAAACGAAACCAAAACCCAGAAGCCAAAAAAACGAGAAAACGAGACAATGAACCAGGGTCCGAGAAAACACGATGACGACCCAGGTGCCGAGAACACGAGAAAACGAGAAAACAAACCAAGGTCCGAACAAGCGAGACCACGGCCCAGGCCGAGAAAACGCTAATATCGGTCCTAGGAAATGAGACCATGACCCAGGGGCCAAGAAAACTAGAAAACGATAAAAATGGATTAGGGCCCGAGAAAGCGAGACTACGAAACAGAGGCCGAGAAAACGATGCAACGAGACAACAAGCCAGCGTCCGAGAAAACGAAACAACGACCCAGGGGCTGAGAAAATAAGAAAACGAGACAACTGACAAGGGTCCGAGAAAAAACTGGACCACGACCAAGGCGCCGAGAAAACAATAACGAGAACACGAACCAGGGCCAGAGAAAACGAGACCACGACCCAGGGGCCCAGAAAACGATAAAACAAGAAAACTAACCATGGACCGAGAAAACCAAACCACGACCCAGGGGCAGAGAAAACGCGAAAACGAACCAGGGCCCGAGAACTCGAGACAACGACCCAGGAGCCGAGAAAACAAGAAAACGAGAAAACCAAGCGGAGTCCGAGAAAACGAAACCACGATCAAGGGGCAGAGAGAATGCGAAAACGGTAAACAAACCAGGGTCCGAGAAAACTGGACCACGACCCGGGGCCCGAGAAAACAAGAGAACGGGAAAACGAACCAGGATCCCTGAAAACCAGGCCACGACCCAGAGGACGATAAAACAAAAAAACAAGACAACGAATCAGGGTCAGAGAAAACGAGACCCCGACCCAGGGGCCGAGAAAACGAGAAATCAAGAACACGAACCAGGGGCAGAGAAAACCAGACAAAAACCCAAGGGCCGAGAAAACAAGAAAACGGACCGGGGCCCGAGATACCGAGACCACGACCCAGGGGCCGAGACAACGAGAAATCGAGAAAACGAACCGGGGCCCAAGAAAACGAGACCACGACCCAGGGGCCGAGAAAACGAGAACACGAGAAAACGAACTAGGGTCAGAGAAAACAAAAACACAATCCAGGAACCGAGAAGCGGAGAACATGAGAAACCGAACCAGGATCCGAGAAAACGGCACCACGATCCAGGAGCCGAGAGAACAAAAAACAAACCAGGGTCCGAGAAAACGAGACCACGACCCAGGGGCCGAGAAAACGAGACAACGAGCAAACGAACCAGGGCCCGAGAGAGCGACAACACAACCCAACAGCCGGGAAAACGAGAGTAACGAGATCACGAACCAGGGCCCGGAAAA